AAGTTTCCTCCTCTGTTAAATGAGGGGATTGAAATAGATCAGTGACATCAAATTCAAATCAAAACAGGGGCCCTAATCTGTACATAAGGATCCCTGTAGGCTGCATATTGAATTAGTTTTTTAAGTGTTTTAAAAAGTATTTAAAACTTAGCTTAAAAAATAGTGTTACCTATGTTTGATTATATTTTTTATTATTTTGTTAAATATTTCTTGAATACATTGTAATCTGGTTTGTGCTATACTAGGGAGTGGTGTGGGCTGTGTATTTGATACCTCTGGTCCAGAGGGCCTTTGAGGTCCTTTCCATCAGTAGAGGGGTTTAAAGGAAAGACTTGGTAGAAAGGGAATTGTACCAGCTTATGTAGACTGGGTGGCAATGCAGTAGATAGAGTACTGGGCCTGGAGTCAGGAAGACTCACCTTCCTGACTTCAAATCCTGCCTACGACACTTCCTAGCTGTGCAACTTTGAGGAAGTCACTTAACTCTATTTGCCTCAGTTTCCTCATCTGTAAAATGAGCTGGAGGAAGAAGTGGCAAACCGCTCCAGTGTTTTTGCCAGGAAAACCCCAAATGGGGTCACAAAAAGTCAGACACAAAATGACTGAAAGAATGAAAGGAGAGACAGCTTTGTTCACAATGGAGTGCTCCTATTTGAAAGGGGTAGAGAACAAGGTGCAGGGGTAAAAAGACTGGATTTGGAGCTAGAGGATCCAGATTCATATTGTAGCTCTCCTACTGAGTATAGTGATTACAGCAATATATCTCATTACTATTTGATTTTGTTTATACTCTACATTGTTATTATTTTGTATTCTTATTTTTTAATTATCCCTGGTTACCAAGGCAAATATTTACCTGAATGCCCAATTCAATGCTGGTAAAATCTTAGCCAAACTTTTGACATTTATTTCATACATTTACTTTGAAACTAAGATCAATTATTTTCTTGTGTTTATTTCATCCATATTTGGCTCTGGTGGATAGGCAACACTAACATTTTGATAGGATAATCTTTGATAGGACTGATTGTAAGATATAACATTAATATTAATGATTTAGTCCGAATTCCTACTTGCACTGAAGCAAATCATCAATCACTTCACTTCGTGAATTTAGGATTTCAATCGGCTCTGATCTGCCTCCTTTAATCAGGAGTTGAGCTGGCACAGTATATGTGCCAGTGTGTGTGTGTGGCCATTAAAATCTGATAAAAATTCATTTTGATATGAGTCAGAATGTAACACAAAGGAATGGGACACAAGATAGCAGATTAAAGTGTGCTATCTACATTGGTCACCAGAGGATGATCTTCATGGGTATTTATTTGTTTCTAGCCTAAAACTTCCAGTAAACTGCAACATTTTTTTTAACCTTTAGCTGTCCTAACTGTGCTATAATATTTGGCCATCTCAACTTTTACCAATAGATGTCAGCAAAAGACTGTGCTATAGTATTTTTCAACATCATTTTTTGACCATCAGATGCCATTGAAAAGCTTTATTATAATCTTCAAGGGCAATAAATTGGTTAAACATTAAGTACCTATTAAGTGTCAGGTTCTGCTCTCAGAGTTAGGGATCCAAAAACATAAAAGGAAAAGGTCTTTGCCATTAAGTCAAGTACATCATATTGGTGGAGACAACTTGTGTGTGTGTGTGAGTGTGTGTGTGTGTGTGTGTGTGTACACATACAAACATACACACACATATACATATATGCATATTTATTAGTATATACAAAATATGAACAAAATTCAAAATTCCAAGGAAATAGACAGGAGAAGACACCACCCACCATTCCACAGGGAGGTGAGAGGTCCACTGGTATGGAACACTGCATATATTTTCAGACATTTTAGATGTGTTTTGCTAAAAAAATTTTTCTCTTTACATGGGATGATTCTCTATATACTTTATGTTGCTATACATAAGCTGCAGGGAGAGGCTCTCAGAGTAAATGAGAGGGATTGGAATGCTCACCTCTGAAGGGTGACATTCCTTCAATGCCATTCTCTCACCCAGGCCCCTGCTCCCCTTCTCCCCTTGCTTACTGAAAACCTCGATCTTCTCAGATGAGCCCCATCTAAAAGGAATTTTAGAATCTCCCTGTCCTTCAGATCCTTTCCAATGTCTCCTGGTGGCATGGAGAGACCATGCCAGAGGGGTCTGGGAGGAGGGACCCAGCCATGAACTCTGTGTGTGTGTGTGTGTGTGTGGTGTGTGTGTGTGTGTGTGTGTGTGTGTGTGTGTGATTCGAGGACCAGCTGAGCTAAGCTTTGGGAGGCTCATCACCAGATTGACCACCACAAAATAGATTTCTTGAAGCAAAGCAGCTCATGAGAATGGGTCTCTTATGGCCCACTGGAAGGAATGACCACATGGGATAAAGTGCCCATCTTCTGAAGTCTTAGACTATGTAGTGATCCTTGAGTCCATCTGCTAGAATCCCATCATGGTAGGGAAGGAAGCTGAGTTGCAGAGAGGTGCAATGATTTAGGTCACATAGATAGTAAGTGACTGAGCTCAGATTTGAACCTAGATCTGCTCACTCTACACCCAATATTTTATAAACAGTGTGTCTTATATCTAATTAAACTGTCAGCTTCTTGAGGGCAGGAACCCTATTGTTTTTCAGATTTGAACATCTCCAGCTTCTGGCATTGCATTGGTCCCAGCTTTGTGCCTTGCATAGAGCTTGTGAAATGGCTGTCCTAGGCAACCCTCTGTTGGGTCTATTGTTGAAGGGATTCTCATTCAGAAAAATAAGTTGTTCTATCATTATTATTGTTATCCCAAAGGATCTCCATCCTGGAGACAGGAGAGAAAGGAGAAGGAGGCAACTTAGAGGAACCTTGTGCAAGGACCAGAAATGGCCAAAAAGTGAGTGCCCCAAGTACAGCAAATACCAGGGAACGGTAGGCCTGAGGAAAGACCAAGCCCTGGGAGGAGAAGCCTTCTCCGTGAGGTGGGAAAGGAAGCCTGGAGCCTGGGCCAGCCAGAGAGGGGCAGGGGTAGGTGGGAGTGGGAGCAAGAGAAGTGAGAAGAGATTTCCCATACCACCCAAAGGAAGGGAGCCAAGCAGCAAGGAGATGGAGTAAGAGCCTGCCCCAACAACAGGGAGATACTGGTGCTGCCTCAAGGCCCCTGGGGACACAGAGCCTGCAGACATTAAACAAATGATGACCCCTAAGAAAAAGAAGGCATAAAAGAGATCTGGCAATTGGGAGAGCATGAAGGAAGACATTACAGAAAGGGCCCCATGGGTAGCACAAAGCTCTCCCAGGAACAATCTCTGAGACACAGCACAAAGATCCCCTATGGAGAAGGGACTGAGCAGTGTGTTTGCTCTTGAAAGAGAAGTTGTCAATTTTCCAGGAGAGAAGAGTAAAGAAATGGAGATGCCCCTCCCTACAACCCCATCAAAGCAGTGCCAAAGCAAAGAGTTCACAGGAGCCTCCAGTCTTAGACCTGGAAAGGACTGAGAGTCAGACTCTCATTTCCTACTTGAGACACAATGAATCTTCCCTATGATATCCCTGACAAGAGGCCATCCAATCTCTGCTTGGTGTCTTTCAGTAATGGGGAGCTCACTACCTTATGACCAATGTCATTCCACTTTGGAAAGTTCAGTTTTTCATTATGTTAAGACAAGGGGCAGCTAGGTAGTACAGTGGATAGAGCTCCAACCCTGGAGTCAGGAGGACCTGAGTTCAAATCCAGACTCAGACACTTGACACTTACTAGCTGTGTGACCATGGGCAAGTCACTTAAGCCCGATTGCCTTACCAAAAAGAAAAAAAATGTATCATTATGTGAAGACAAACCTGCATCCCTGTTATCAATCCATTAATCAATCAATCCCAGAAGTATTTATTAAGTACCTACTATGTGCCAGAAGCTTTCTCTTTCGCCTGGATTCTAGGTCTCCATTCTGAAACCACACCAAAGTCACACCCTTTGCCCTGTGACAGTCCTTCAGATACGTGAGGGCACCTATCACTGCCTCTGCTGTCTTTTCTTTTCAGAGTGAAATGCTACCCACTTATAGATTCATGGAATTTAGAGCTGCCAGGGTCCAACCCCCTTAGCTTAAACCAGAGGAAAGAACACTAGAGAGGGAGGTTCAGTGACTTGCCCAGGGTCTCACAGGCTGTAGGGAGTAGAGCTGGAATTCAATCCGAGGTCCTGATTCTACATTCAGGGCTCCTTCCACCACAGGACCCTCCTCCTTTCATCTGTTCCTCACAGCGTGAGGTTTCCGGGCCCCTCACCATCCCTGTCTCTCAGTGTCTTTCCTAAATGTGGGTCCTAGAAGTGAAAATGATATTCTAGGTGTGGTCTGACCAGGACCACAGAGAGCTGCTTCTATATTTGGCATGATTATTTTATCCAGCCCTGTGATTTCTCTGGTGTGGAGGAACTTCTGCTTGGAGGTCCTGCAGCTGATGTCAGTCAGCCAGATTGGGGAGTTGCCTGGGACACAGAGGGGTTAAATGATTTGCTTATGGTCACATGGCCAAGGCAGTGGGTAGGACTTGGACCCAGGTTTTCCTGACTCCAAGACTAGCCCTCTATTGTCTACTCCAGACTCCATGGCATGCTTGTATTAATGCAACCTGAAATCACTCTAGCTAAGGCAGCTACGTGGCTAGGCATAGAGCACTAAACAAATAGACACAAGCACACGCGCACGCGCGCGCACACACACACACACACACACACACACACACACACACACAAACACACACACACACACACACACACACCCCTCTTCTCATGCCACAGACAGGGAAAAGAGGGGTCAGAGTTACCCCCTCACCCCAAATAGGGGCTAGAGATACTTCCCTCCCTCTACTGTCCCCTACCCCAGTCCTTGCATCTACTCAGGCTCGAAGAGGCCTGGAGAACAACATGAACTCCCTAGCTCTGGCCCAGGGATGCTCCCTTCCCAGTTATAGAACGGGGAAAGAGCCCCAGGGCAGCGACTGCCGCCCGCTTACCTCCTCCACTCACTGGTAAAGACTTGGAAGAGAGACGGGACAAAAGGCGGAGGCTCTTTATGCTGCTGAAACGAGGAGCTGGCATGCAGAGCCCCACCAGGAGCCCACAGAGGTTCTGAGGCAGGATGAGAGCTCTGGAGAAGAGTGGAGGAGAGGGAGGGAACAAAGGCGCTGGGCTGGGCTGGGCTGGGCTCTCCCACTTCCCTCCTGCTCTCCCTCTCTCTAGGACAAAGCCACCCATTCTTACCCACACCCTCCCATACACTCACGTGGGTACAATAGTCACACACACGCTCACTCACACTGGGAGAACCACATACATTGTCTCAGTCACTCACAACCCCGTGCCCTCTAGGAGAGCTCACTGTCTTCATGTGCCATGCAGTTGAGGACTTGCTCCCTGTGTCCTCTGGAAACTTGAGTCACTGAGGCATATATTTTGTCACCACAGGAGGTCACAGGAGAATGACCCTTGCTTAGAGGCTCCCTCCTGTAATGAAGGGTGTAGATACCTTCAAAGACCTTTCTTGTCCCTGATCCATTCTCTCCCCACTTCCCACCTCCCTCCAGATATTATGGGAACTCCAGCATTTTATAATCCACTCCCAACTCTACCAGCAGCATCAGCTTTCCTGACAAGCACACAGGCTCCCAAGGCTCAAAACACAAGTAGTTTTATTGAAAAGTAAATGAATGAACAAATGAATGAATGAATGAGTGAATGAATGAATGAAAGAGCACTGGTTAAGTGCTTACTTACCATGTACCAAGAACTATGCTACAAGCTGCCATTACAAGTAGATAAAGAGAGTCGGTGCTTTCAAGGACCTCTTACTCTAATTGGGGACAACAATGCACACAGGAAGGGTCGCCTGCAGGGTGGATTAAAAAGCCAGAGCCACTGAGGGTGCCAGGGGCAGGGCAAATGACAAGCCCCAGGACTCCCTAGAACACACCAGGGAGCCTGCCCTGCAAAGCTGGGAGTCTGGAGGGTCCCCACCACCACTGAGATGGGGGAGGGGAGCAGGCATAAGGGTTAGAATGGAGCAGAGATTCAGGGCTCCCTCCAGCAGGGCTGGGGCATGGGAGCATTGGCAGAAAGGTTGGGGGATGGCACCTTGCTGGGCACTGATATACAGTTAATACCAGTCAACAATTAACACTTTCTTCCTTCCCCACCCCTCCATAAACTCGACAGTCTCCATGACTTATAGCACTGTTATAGGTAGGGCTCTGGAAGGTGAGGGCCAGGTGTTGCTTCCCAACACTGGCCCTCCCATCCACAGCCTGTGGCAGCGGAGGGTGACTAGCTTCCTGCACCTCTTACCAGGTAACATCTGTCACTGATCCCCAGCACTGCTCCTGGTCACCAACCTCCACAGTGCTTCCAGGCCAAGCCACCTGTGTACAAGCTCAGAGCGGGGACTGCCAGGCAGGCCTAGAGGCCAGAGGGGGCATAGACAGTGTACCCCAGGACCAGAGTCATTATTTCAGCTTCAACTTTCCTATGCCAGGCACCCAGGACAGGACAGAAATCATCCCTGCTCCTCCCACAGATGATACTTGCTATCCCAGATGAACCTCTCCTCTAACAACCAGCCCATTGGGAAGAACTCCCCAGTGTATTTATACACCTTTGCCCCTGGGCCCCACCACCCTAGGCCTCCCTCAGCAGGCTTCCCTCAGGTCTATGGGAAATATCTGCCCTTGCACCTCCCAAGTGGTCTCCAACTCCATGGAGGCTCACTGTGACTCTCTGCCTCCTCTCTCTCCTAACACTAGGACACTGGGTCTCCTGATGACATCGGCACTTCCCACTGGGTCCAGAGGTTTAGTCAGAGCACCCCACTCTCTCCCCTCCATCCAGGGTAGCTGAGCTGGGTTATCCAAATTACCCAGGGCTGCTTCCTGAAACAACTAGATAAGTTGGGGAGGGGGGACAGAGAGGGGATGGAGAAGGCCCTTCCTGGCATAAGGACAGGAGTAACAGGGAGAAAGAAATATTTAGTGACTCTAATAGTACAGAAAAACTAGTGTTTGAAGGGGCTAGAGCATAAGAGTACAGAACATCAGAAGATCAGAAATGGCATCATTTGGCAGATGCTGAAACTGAGACAGAGAAGGGAACTGATTTACCCAAGGTCACACAGCTAGGGAGCAGCAAAACCAGAGTGATGACTCTCTGCCGTTAGGAGTTTGAAATCTTTAGAACAATGTTTAGACATTCTTGCTCCAAGGAACCCCAGGGCTCTGAGGCCTCCCCAGGGAAACACCCCAATTACCAAGTGCTCCTTGAAAAGAGATCCCCTGCTGCCATTTCCCAAGCTCCCAATGCGTGTACCTGTACACTTGCCATAAAGGAGCTTCAAAACAGTTTACAAGGGCCCAGTGCATCCTGCTCTGAGGAAGTGGAACCAGGGTCTGGGCTGGCCTCTCATCTTCAGGCTAGAATTCCACGTGGCCAACATCCTCCAGATTCATGAGGATTACAACGGCTATTCTGGGCCAACCTTCAACATCCCAATTCCTCCACCTATTTTTTTAATCTGTCCAAGCTCCCACCCAGCGGGCATACTCTAATCCTGGGGCCCACATAACACCAGCATAATGGGGAGAGGGACAAAAGTGATGGCCCAACCCCAGGAGCCAGTGATTATTTTCACAGTCAGACTCTCTTAGGCATCTACTAAAGCTGCTTGGCATCTGCTGACTGCATGTTGATTTTGTGGTTTCACAGTCTTTCATCTCCATCCCCTTCTCTTCATTCCCATTGCAGTACAGGCCCACCCACCACCCTTAGTACAGGCCCTCATTCCCTTTTGCCTCAACTAATGCTATAGCTTCCTAACTGGTCTTCTGGCTTGGGCTCCACACCTTTCAGCCATCCAGCCCATGTAGCTCCAACCCACCTTCCCTTTCTTTTGTCACATGCTTCACTCCTCTTTAGGTACCCCTTAAGCTGGTCTGCTGGCCATTCCATGGCACCAATGCCCTCTGCCTGCCATCTCCAGCTAGACTTTGTTCAGGTGCCAGCACCTCCATGGAGTCTTGCTTTAGCCTCTTCACCCCGCTGTCATCCCTCTCCTGAGACCTCTCAGGGCTTGGTTCATCCCCCCTCCCCATGCATTTCATACATTTAGGTGTGGAGGGAGGGAAACTGCTGAGCCTGCCCCTCTATACCCTCCCCAATCTGGAGGACCCTGCGTCATATGGGTTCTGACTCAGCACCGAGGAGCTTGGTACTTGGGGATGACACAGCCAACTCTGGGTACCTCCCTTAGTGCCCACCTTGTAACAGGATGAATTGGGCAGTATACATGTTTAAAAGAAATATCTCTCTTTCTCTCTCCTTTTACTCTTACGAAAGTGTGCCTAGGACAGGAATTCCCTTTCTCTGAAACTCCTGTAAGGGCTGGGGTCCTTTTCCCACCCTGGCAGAGACGGCCACCCTTTGCACATGGTCACTAGAGTAGACACTAATGCAGGTTACCCTGAGTCTGGATCTCAAGGCCCTGGCTACTTCTTTGCTATTTCTTTGCCTAAGTATAGCTGTCTAGATAGCAAGCTGGAGATGGAGGCTTCCAGCATTGGAGGCAACCCTGTGAGTTCTGGGGGTCAAGGACTCATAGGTCCCTTAGTCAGTGCCAGCTGCATGATGGGAGGTGCCCCTTTAGCTACTATAGCACTTTCTGGAGTAAGTGATGACCAATAGGAGGAGTAGCCCATCCATGGTCTGACTTTCTAGAAGAGATGGACCTTGACAGTAGTGTTCAGACAGCATAGAACAGAAATGAAGGTGAAATGCCTATTCAACAGTCTCAATAAAGTGCTTCAGAGGTTAATGCTATATTGTCTTCCCAGGAGAGGCTAAGAGGAGTTATAGGTAACTGTTTCATGCTGAAGTCTTTGTCAAGGCATGCTTGTGACTCTTTTGCATCTGAAACATTTCTTTTGGTGCGGAGAAAATAAATAGCTGTCCTATACCTGCTCTATATAGTGCACTAAGGGCATTTCTAATCCTCTTGTTGAGGAGACCCTAGACATGAACCAAGCCCAAGCTTTCAGAAATTCTCCCCAGGACCTGGGATGGGGGTGTAAAGAACCAGAGAGTTTGAGAAAAAGAACATGACCCCTTCTTTTAGGTCTTGGCTGTCTCAGGACTGAAACCTGCCTACAGGTGGGTCCAGAGCTTCCCTTTAATGGATGAAAGTAAGTGCCCCAGCTTTCTGGGGCCAAGCAGTGGTTCTACATTGCTACTGGTGACTCCATGATACCAGACTGTAGATTCTTGAAGGAGACAGACCAGTAGATTTAATCTGTCCATCCAACCTGTCCATTTGGCTGAAGACGTTACATCTACCATACCAGTAGGTGCATCTGTGATTTCATCTGATGATCACAAGGGGCCTATGACTTTATCAGTAGGCAAGTATGAGGTAGGAATTGCCCTGAGGCTCAATGTGACTTGCCCAAGATCACACAGTTGTTAAGTGTCTAAGGATGTGTGATTGCCCCCTGCCAAGACTTCCTTTCTCCAGGCTAAACATTCCCATTTACTGTAAAAGAATCTCCTATGACAAAACCTGGAAGCGCTCCCCTGCCCTGATTACTCTCCTGTACACACTCCCCAGCTTCTCTAGAACACAAAATCCCAGATGAGGTTTGACCAGGGCAGAGTCCAGAGGACAATCACCTTCTTATTCCTGGAAACCAGGCCTCTCAAGGCAGAATACATTCAGAGTGGGGTTTTTGTCTGCCAGGGGTTGCTGCTGCCTCATCTGAGGCTTGCAGTCCATTCAAACCCCCAGATCTTTTTCAGACAAATTGCTGGCTAACCAGAAGGATGCAGGATCCAGAAGGAGGACCAGTCATTACATTTCTGGCCATGTTGTTGAAAAGCAGAAATGCTTGGCTATACATACATACACACATACACATACATATATATATATATATATATATATACACACACACACACACACACACATATATATATATATATATATATATATATATATATATATATATATATATATACATACATGTAACCATTCTTTGCACACTTCTGTTCAACAGTTCTTTCTCTGGAAGTGGATAGCATCTTCCTTCATAAGTCCTTAGAACTTGATTTGAACATTTGTAAT